CGTTCGTCAGGGAATGACAAGGAATTTCCAAGGGGAAGGAGACACCAGGAGCCCCAGAGGCCGGTTTCCTCAGAAGCAATGACCTATTTATAATTAGTGAAAGAAAGGCCACCGTTAGGCCCTCCCTAGAGAACAGAAAAGTGGTTCTGTGGTTTTCAAAAAGGCGGCAAAGCAGGCCAATGGGAAAAGTCCACTTCCTTTCCTTGGGCAGGCAAAGGTAGGCCGAGGAGCTGACAACATTAATTAACTGAGAGAAGCAGCACAAGCCTCTACCTGATGACAGTGGAAACCCCCACACCCTCCCCTCCTACCACCTCCCAGCTTGCCCTGCGGCTCTGCAGCCTCTCAGCAACTCTGCGGGCCAAGGCCAAGGCCAAGGCCAAGGCCCCGGGGAGCTCCTGCTCCTATTGGTTAAGCTATGTTCATTTCTGATTCTAGGTATGCCAGCTGCACCTGAAATTCTAATTACATGCTTTAAACAGATACTATGTAGATCAATGAAACAGTCACGTGAAGGAGACTTCTGGTAGCTCTGTATACATCAAGGTTCAAAACCTTGGGAACATTCAGTCACGTTCGAGAGACATCAAAGAGGATGCCGAAGATGATTTTTGCAAGTGCGCCTTCCAATCTCCAGCCCACTTTAAGGAAACCCAAACTGGAAACTGCCGGTGATGCATTATTGCTGCGGTTTCGGCAAGACGGGCCCCGTGAAAAGGAACGAGGAGGTGGTTTGAGAGACCTCTGTCATAGAATGAAAGCTACACTGGCTGGCGGTGTCTTACTGCGGATTTCTTTCCTCGCAGCCAGCACACTGGCTATTCCAATACTGCATGAGAAAGCTCTGGTGCTTTGTTGGCCTTTTAAAGCCTCTTTGGTGGCAGCTTACTGGCTTGGAAAGGAAGCAGCTGGGGTTAGGGGAGAGCGATCCTGTCCAGGGAACTCCGCGGGAGGGGAGCCCACTTTGTAGTGAAAACAGAAAGCGCCTCAGCAGGACAGTCTGCAGACAGGAAGGAGAGAATTACGCAGGTATTATGGCCAGAACAGCGAGTACAAAAGAGCAACTTCACAGCGGAGGAAGCTGGCTCACCGATTTCCCCAGCTCCTGTCTGGCCCCGGCGCAATTTCTGCACCGTCTGTAAACTGGGGCCAACAGCGGCTGATTGTTTCCAGAGTCCGCGGAAAGGCTTGCGGGCCAGCGGTAGTGAAACAGAGAAAGAAGTGTTCTTACAATCTGAGGAAGTGCATGCTAACATTGGCCCTCAGCCCCGTGGCCGACTTCCTCCGCAGCGAAGCCCCAACCGAACGACTTTGCCTCAACGGGCCCAGCTGTAAAATGGGGGAACCGGTGCTGAGCACCTACATGGTGAAAGCTTTCATTAATGACAAAACACTCATTAGGACAATGTACGGCGGAAGTGCATGTACCCACGTGGGCCCTGTAAAGCATATGGTGGGGGTGCCTGGGTGGCTCAGTGGGTTGAGCGTCAGACTTCGGCTCAGGTCATGATCTTGCAGTTCATGGGTTTGAGCCCCACGCCTGCTCTGTGCTGACAGCTCAGAACCTGGAGCCTCTTTGGATTCTGTATCTCTCTCCCTCTGACACTCCCCTGCTCTTGCTGTCTCTCTCTATCGAAAATAAATGAAAAAAATAAAAAACATTTAAAAAAAAGCCCATGGTGAAGGCTCTGAGAATCCACACCCCTCTTGGGCCTCCCTAAGTAGTCAGCAATTTTTCATGGGGGATTTGGGTTATAAAGAAACTGACTGCCTTCAGGCCGTCATGCTTCAATAAAGAAAACCGAGTGAGGGATGGCCAGACCCAGCAGGGAGCGAAACCAACTCCCAGCTGCAAAAAGAATATACACTTTAGCCACAGGGTAAGCACACAAGTACCCAGACTTCAATGGCTCCCTGGAAAACTGAGGCCGGAAAATGGGAACACCTTCCTAATGAGCCTTCTGTGGCCTAAAATACATCTAAATACAAACTCCATCTAAATACAAACAAGATTGTTCCTTTATTAAACCTTTCTTTCCCTGGATTATCTCCCACTAATCCATTACCTGCTTCTGCTTCCTGATAAAGCAAGCCAGGTATATTATTTTTAAAGGTCTTAGAGATATTGTGGTTGCCAAAAAGGAGTGATAACAGCCCCCAACACAACAAACCCATTTTTTAAGCTTCTCCTCACTGCTAGATGCATGATTTTATTTAAATCCTTAGAACCACACGAGATTGCTTTTATTGTCCTCATTTGGGGGTATGGAGAGGATGGGTGTTTAGCAGATGTGTACATGCAGCCTGTGGATGGTCTAACTCGAATCAGAGCAGGGACTCTTAAGGCTTAAGCTGTCTGTCGAGACCTGAGCCGGGTGCCACTGATTCCAACAACTAAAGCCTCGCTCTTAAACAGGTGGATGTTATTCTTAAAATTTTGGTCACCTTTGTGAAGTTGTCTACAATAAAATTGACTCCTGTGTCAGGTTACTGACATAGGCACACACAGGTAACTACCACCGCAATCAAGGTACGGAATGATTCTAACATCTCCTCCCCCTCAAATTCCTTCCTGTCGCTCTTTGTGAATAATTCTCTTCCCCCAACCCCAATTCCTGGCGACAGCTCATTTGTTTTCTGGGCCCATAAGTTTGCCCTTTCTAGAAAAATATCTACCATCTTAACATTTCTGCCACCCACGAATTCAAAGGGTGACGAACACCCTTCTATGTGAATATAAACCCAGAAAAGCGGTAAATCAGATGAGACCTGGCACAGGACAGGAAGACAGCACTGAAAGTTTAGCAAAGCTTTAAAATACTCCCACTCCGTCTCCCCCTCCCCCACCTCCACCATGATAGCAGCAAAAAAAAAAAAAAAGAAAAAGAAAAAAACCCCCACAAAAAACAAAGAAACCCTGTGGGAAATCCTCAGCATTTCTGCTGGTGGAGGGAGCTGGGGGTTGGTGGGGGGAGGACCTTGAGCTCCAAGAAGCAGCCTCTGTAGTTCTTCTGCTCCCTGGGGTACAGTCTGGGCCGCCTCCTCACCAGAAGCTTTAAGTATCATTTTACGATAAGGCTCTAGGCTATTCCTTCTCAGCTCTGAAGTTCCTACTTCTAGGCAAACATACTCTTTGCCTATAGTCAGACTGGCAGGTGCTTACGTCTTGTGCAAATTGGTAGGTGCTTTGTAATCTTCTGGAAGAATAACCCTATACCTGGGGAAGTCATCCCCTAGAGAGCCCGGGAGGACACATGAGCACAGCAACGAAGGAAGGGAGGCCAGGAGACAGATTCCCGCAACAGGTGGAATTGCTGAATCAGCCCTGAGCTCGAGGGGGGTCCCGTGTCCCAGCCGGACCCCATCGCACACCTGGCTGGGCTCCTGCCTGTCCTGGCCCTGAGCTCCTGGGAGTCCACTGTGGGCAGCCCACCCCACCTTCAAGGCCCAGGACCCTGGGCCCGCTGTTTCTTCATCCCGGGGTCCCCATTCGCTTGCTTCCGCGGCACTTCCCTCCACACCAGAATCTTCTTTCCGGCTGGCCAACTGCAACAGGCAGCGAGTTTTCAATAACTCTACCAACGGGGCTGGTGGCTGCTGGGGAGGATTCCCCCTGCAGAGTCTCAGCTAACAAAGGAATCGAGATCATCTGTGGCTCAATTTAGAGCCTACTTTATGAGGCCAGCAGGACCCCAGAGAGTGACAATAGCCTTCCTTCTCAGAAGGTTATTCAATTCAAATATAGGATCAAGTATCAATTTTCCAAGCAGAAGGCAGTGAGTGTAGCACGTGTTGTCAGCAAGTGTCTGCTCTCTGTGAAGGCCAAGGTCCTACAGATAGGACAGGCAGGCCTGCCTGGGGGTGGGGGACGTCGTAGCAAAGGCCCGGGGGGGAGGGGGGGTGGACATCTAATGTCAACTGTGAGCTGTGAACATGAAATGACATGTTCCTCCAGCCTCACCAGGCTTTTGCTTCCTTTTAATATTCAGAACACCTGGGTACCTGGCCAGAAAAAGCTCCAAAGGCCCCTGTTGTGGTTCTAAAATTAGAAGTTTCCTAGAGTCCTTTTATTACAAGGGGTCTTACCTGGGGGGAGGAGTGTTGGGTGGGGGGAGAGATGGACTGGTGAGAGAAGGGAAGGGGAGGGGGGAGAGAGGAAAAGAGAGGGAGGGGAGCTCTTCTCTGTTAATCTAGGTCAGCCTTGGAGTAAAATGTTATATAAATCCACATTTTAATTATATGTATGTATAGAAATATCATATATCTATATCATAAGCCAAGTACTAGGTTTTTTAAAAAAATGAAAAGAGCATGGGACGCCTGGGTGGCTCAGTCGGTTAAGCGTCTGACTTCGGCTCAGGTCATGATCTCGCGGTTCATGAGTTCAAGACACACATCAGGCTCTGCACTGACAGTGTGGAGCCCACTTGGGATTCTTTCTCTCTCCCTCTCTTTCTCTGCCCCTCCCCCACTACCTGGCATTCTCTCTCTCAAAATAAATAAATAAATTTGAAACAAATTTTATAACAACGAAAGCAGCATATTACAAATATCGGTATGACCTTGTCTGGGCTGAAACAAAGGGATATGCACATACATTTGAACATTTGATTCTAATAAATGATATGTAGATTCTAAATATATAATTAAAATCACATATGACATGTATAATAGTATATGCAATAACTATATGTTATATGTGACATATATGGTATATGGTCTATATGGTAATTCTATACCAGATTTATATTCTAACTCTAGCCCTTAAATTAGAACATAGACTAAACATGCCAAAGGTGATTTTTTTTTTGTTCTTCTATTTTAAACTTCCACAAAAATTCTACATTATTTTGTAATCATATTCCAGGGTTATTAAAACCTTTAAAAGCTCGCATGGCTCAACAGGTCGCCCTCCCAATATTGACTGATCCCATTTGGAGTGTGGCTCCAAAGTACCCCTCAGGGCAGGCCCCCTGCAGGGGCTAAGGGGATGGACATACCTCCTTCTGTTCGCTGCCAGCACAGTGCAGAGATGCGGTCAGGGGAGACTTCCACTCTCCAAAGGCCTGCAAAGGGGCCCTCATCTCGTCTTCAGAGTAGAGCCTGGAGGGGATGGCAGAAGCGGGGGTACAGGTAGTTCCCCTGGAGTCACCGAGCTGCCTCTCATCTTCTGTGGACAGTGCGCTCCTGGCCTCCCGGAGCTGTAGGCTCTGGATAAGCAACCGACAAGCCTCCAAGTCAGCTTCCCATACTTTCCCAAGCAGTGGACACTTGCAGCTAAGACACAGGGGGAAACAAAGGCATGGACATTTATTCAGTAGCATTTGATCCTACCAACTCCAGAGCTTGTCTACCTGGCTGAAAGTTAGCCAGTCATCTTACAGTTAACAACTTAACTTTATATACTGATGGATTCTTTCAACCAGAAGGTAGAGGGGGCCCCGATATGCATCCTACCGAGTAACAGTGAAATAACTCTTGGTCGCTCGTAGCTACACGTTCTATATCTGGTGTAATACAGCACCAACTCTGCCCATGTCTCTGCTCCAGCCCTGCTGGCCTCTTTTGAGTCCTCAGGCTTGTCCAACTCACCCAGCTAAGTACATTTTCATGTGCTGTTTCATATGCCTAGACTGGCCCTCCCCTCCCCCCGACTCCCCTACCAACACCCTCTCCCCCAACGTAAATGAATGAAGCAGTGCATGTGTGATATAAACCACAGCAACTGATAGGAAGCTCCAGTGCAAAAAGAAATAAAGCAGAGTGGTCTCTGGCTAATAAAAAGAACTATCGACAGCCCTCTATCAGCTCGGGCCAACTAAAGTTTCAATTCCAACTAAAGGAATATGTAGACTCAATGTTTACAAAAAGATTTTTCATGACAAAGCAAAAATCTGGGATTTTATAGAAAAATAAACATTTTTTCACCTAAACATTCACCTTCAGGCTGGATATTTTTTAGACATATGTTGTCCCTTTAACAACCCCTCCTTCTACTATGTCTAATCTGCTATTCAATGTATCTGTTGTGTTGTCAATTTCAATTACTTTTCAGTTCTATAGTTTTTATTTCATTTTCTTTTCCACATTTCAGGTCTCTGCTGAAATGATCTATCATGCCCTCTAGCTTCTTAAACATATTAATCATCATCATTATTTTAAAGCCTACATTTACAAATGATGAATTTAGATGGAAAAAAGATGAGACAGAAGCAACATTATTAACATATTAGCTAAGAATGTTAAAATACTGACAAGGGACATCAAACTACACATTCAGGAAACACTACAATCTTAAAACAGGAAAAATCAAAGGAAAAAAAAAAGAAGGAAATGCACCTGGGTTCACCATAGTGAAACCGCTAGACCTCAAAGCCAGAAAAAAATTCTTAAAAGCAGCCAGATTAACAAAAGCATTAACTTCCAAATAATAATAATATGGGTCACAGAAGTGATAGAAGCCAAGAGATAATACAACAATATCTTTAAAATGTTGTAAGAAAATAACTGTCAATCTATAAGTTATACAATCATTTTCAATTTCCTTCAAAAACAAAAGTCAAATGGAGATATTTTCGGATACATGAGAACTGAAATAATCCCTTGGCAACGCATCCAGAAAAAAGGAAATGATCCCAGCTGTAAACAAGGACATGCATAAAGAAATTAAAAACAATGGGAAGATTAAATAAGTAGATGTGGATGTAAATAAACAGCAATAGTTTCTTTTGTAAGCTAGAATATATGTCAAGTTCAAATACATGACAACCAGCACAAAAGGAATGAGGGTCCCTGTGTTGTTCAGAAAGCAAAAGAGTGCTCACTTATATCAGCCTTTAAAAAGTCAAAAAATCATATGCAACCTTCTATGGTAATTGTAAAATGGACAGGTTAAAGGAATGTATAACTGACAAGCTAATATGAGAGAACATTTTAAATTTTTAAAAAATGTCTTATTTATGTTTGAGAAAGAGAGACAAAGTGTGAGCAGGAGAGGGGGAGAGAGCGAGGGAGACACAGAATCTGAAGCAGGCTCCAGGCTCTGAACTGTCAGCACAGAGCCCAACACGGGGCTTGAACTCACAAGCTGCGAGATCATGACCTGAGCTGAAGTCAGATGCTTAACCTGACTGAGCCATCCAGGCGCCCCAAGAGAGAACGTTTTAAAAATTAAACCTACTTTATTATTGTTTTGCTATAATGAAAACTATAAAGGAGACAGGAATGAACATGGTACAGATGGGGAAAATGGCAAAAATAGAAATCTTTTTACCATAGAAAAATGAAATAGATTTACATTAAATATAAATAGATAAGTATTTAGAAGGCAAAGATTGTAGACTAGAATAAAAAAATCAAAATCTGTATGTTGCTTACAAAAGGAATACTTTAAAAATAAGGATACAAACAGATCACGAGTAAAAAGGTAGGGATAATACATTATGAAAGCATTATTAACGGCAATAATGATCTTGAGTGGGAAAAGGACAGTGTTTTCAGTGTATGTGCTTAAGTTGATTGAATATCATTATAGGAAAAAAATCAAATCATGATTACTGGCTCACATCATACAAACATCAATTTCAAGTAGATTGTATATCAAATGTGAAAGTTAAAAACATCAAAACTTTGGGGAGCCTGGGTGGTTCAGTCAGTTAAGCATCTGACTTCAGCTCAGGTCATGATCTCACAGCTCATAGGTTTGAGCCCCACGTCAGGCTCTGTGCTGAGGTTCAGAGCCTGTAGCATGGAGCTTGCTTCAGATTCTGTATCTTTCTCTCTCTCTCTCTCTCTGCACCCCCACCCCTGCCCTGTTCGTGCTCTCTCTCTCTCAAAAACAAACATCAAAAAAAAAACTAGAAAAACATTAAAACTTCTAGAAGATAATGTAGGATAACATCTTTAGGACTTCATAGTAAGCAAAGATCTGTTAAATGAGATATAAAAAGGACAAGCCCTAAAGAAAACAAATGATAAGTTTGATTTCATTTATATCATGAACTTACATATTCATCAAAAAACACCACTGGAAGAATGAAATTATAAGCCACAGAGTAGGAGAAATTATTTGTAATACATGTAACCACACAAAGGGCTGATTTGAGAAAATAACCCAACTCCAAGTCAATAAGAGACAGGCAACCCACTTTTTATTTATTATTTTTAATTAATTAATTAATTTTCTATGTTTATTTTTGAGAGAGAGAGGAGAGAGAGCACAAGCAGGGGAGGGGCAGAGAGAGAAGGAGAGACACAGAATCCAAAGTAGGTAGAGCTGTCAGCACAGAGCCCGATGCAGGGCTCGAATCCACAGATTGCGAGATCATGACCTGAGCTAAAGTTGGACACTTGACTGACTGAGCCAGGTGCTCCAACAACCCATGTTTTAAAAAGGGCAAAGACCAAAACAGGCACTTCACAAAAGAGTACTTCTACATGGTCAGTTAGTAACTGATGAGAGAATGTTCAACACTATTAATCATCAGGAATATACATACGAAACCACAATACGATGCACTACACATCAACAAGATGGCTAAAATTTGAAAGTGTGACAATACCAAGTGTCAGAAAAGGTACGAAGCTATTAGTATTCTCAGATACTGATGGTGGGAGTGAACATGAATGCAATGTCTTTAAAATCTCTTTGGTGGATGTACGGATGTTGAATACATGTCAATCATTAAGACCTAGCAATGCAACTCCTAGGTATGTACTCAATAAAATGCATATATTGTCAATTCTCAAATTCATAGGGGTCATGTTCCATAACGTCATCACAACCACAGACCTAGTGAGTACTGGACAGATAATTCCCCAGGGAAATGCAGGACTAAGCTCCTGCCAGCCTATGGTCACAACATTTTCCTCAACCAATCAATATACACTTCGTTATATGTGTTTCTGTTTGAAAGACACCGTATTTAGAATATACTGTTGATTCACTAACACTGAGCTCATGGACAACAGCACTATAACTCACGCCTGAACACACATTATTTTCTCCATACAGCACACCACAGCCTTCTTGCCCTTAGGAGAACTAGACAGCACCTCAGCACTAAGGGCCTCATTTTATTTTATTTCATTTTCTCTTTTAAAGAGAGAGAGAGTGCAAGCAGGGGAGAGGGGCAGAGGGAGAGGCAGCGAATCTCAAGCGCTCAGCACACAGCCTGATGCGCGGCTCAATCCCACGACCCTGAGATCATGACCTGAGCCCAAATCAAGAGTCAGAGGCTCAACCAACTGAGCCACCCAGGTGACCCGGGCATCATTTTAAATTGTGAAATCACCAAGAAAAAGTACAAAAATGTAAAAAACACGATGCTAAGTAGACCACGATAATGACCCTGGTTTGTAAAATGAGAACGGGGAGAAGGCAGAGCGTTGCCTTATTTGACCTCGGGTGAGAACACGCACATCAGATGACTCCAATTTTTCACCACCCCGAGCATGTCTATGAATGACAGAGAAAGCGCTGTAGGTATTGAGTTCAGGGTTATAAATAAATGTTAGTGAGTAGGCAAGTTCACAGAATCCAGGAATAATGATCAACTGTATACATGGATCATACTACATTGTTTGTAACAGCCAAAACCTGGGAGAGAAAACAAACATCTGTCAATGAAAGAACAGACCAATGGTGTGGTATCCGTTTATTGGAATATCACGCTGCAAAGAAGAGGAGCAAATCATCACAATTGGCAATATTATGGTGATCTCATAAACATAAGGCTGGGCGAAAAGAGGAGGCACTATGATTGCATTTATTTTGTACTTGAAACTCTGCCAAACTAATCCTTGGTGTTAGAAATGAGGACAAGCGGCTACTTTGGGGAGGAGAGTGATGATGACAGTGAGCCCAAGGGGGGCTGCTGGTGTGCTGAAAGTTTATTTCTCAGTGGTGGTGGTTTACAGGAATGTTCATTTTGTGAAAATTCACCAAGCATGCACTCACGATGTGTGTGCTTTCTGGTAATGCTATGTCAGTCCGAAATAATAAAAAGAGGGGTGCCCAGGTGGTTCAGCTGGTTAAGCGTCTGACTCTTGATTTCAGCCCAGTACACGATCTCATGGTTCGTGAGTTCGAGCCCCACCTCGGGCTCCATGCTCACACTGCAAAGCCTGCTTGGGATTCTGTCTCTCTCCCTCTCTCTCTGCCCCCCGTGCATTCTCTCTCTCTCTCTCTCTCTCTCTCTCTCTCTTTCTCTCTATTATTATAAAATAATAAGATAATGAAAAAAGAAAAGAAGAGAAGACAGATTTTCAGAGCCATG